GTAATTTACGATGTACTTATACAAAATGCTTCTAAAAGAGCATTGAAGGTAACACTATAAATATTTCAAATACCTTTTTTACATACTTATATGTATGTGTGTGTATGTATGTGTAAATTTATATCATTTATATGATGTATAGAAATTATTAATTTCTTCGACCGATAAAAAAGAAGCTGATATTATTATCTTGATTACTGAAAATTCTACAAAAAAACTCCGTAAAATATATAAGGCGACTAATAAAGTCATCGATAAAATTATCTACGATTTGAATTTGAAGTCATTCGTGTCAAAACTAGAAGGGGAATTAAAAAAAGAATTTGACAGGTAAAGCTTTATTTTTTGTTTATCCTGTAGACTACAATTTTAAAAATATTAATATATATTTTCAGATCCGCGTGCGGAATACGAAAAAGGACGCTTATCATCAATTTTTCCGGTCTTGATGAAACTATAAACTTATTTCTTACGAAAAATATATATCTAATAAGGCAAATAATAATAATGTTCCTGGTCACGGATTATTATGAAATGAGCGATGATAATAGTAATAATAGTGATAATAGTGATAATAGTAATAAGAGGAAGAAAAAGAAACAGAATAGTGATGATAATGATGATAACTCTAATAATGATAATAATAATGATGATAATGATGATAACTCTAATAATGATAGTAATAATGATGATAATGATGATAACTCTAATAATGATAATAATGATGATGATAATGATGATAACTCTAATAATGATAATGATGATAATGATGATAACTCTAATAATGATAATGATGATAATGATGATAACTCTAATAATGATAATGATGATAATGATGATAACTCTAATAATGATAATAATAATGATGATAACTCTAATAATGATAATAATGATGATGATAATGATGATAACTCTAATAATGATAATGATGATAATGATGATAACTCTAATAATGATAATGATGATAATGATGATAACTCTAATAATGATAATGATGATAATGATGATAACTCTAATAATGATAATAATAATGATGATAATAATGATAATAGGATTGATAATAATGCATCCTCTTCAATGCACGTATCCTACAAGGAGATGGTAAAATATCTTTCACGCAATAACAATTCCGGAAAAGTCTGCAATGATATATGAATTTATAATTAAAAACATTGTTTACAGACAAAAATCAACAAAGCTGCGGATTTTACAGAAAAGAATTCAGACTACGGTAACACCGACGAGGTAATTTCGCTAGCAGATGCATTGGACATAATAAAATCTGTAATACGCGAAAACTATAAGAAAACATTGACGGAAATCGTTAATGCAAGTGACGCCCACGGTAGAATATTGGCTGAAGATATATATTCCGAACACAATGTGCCGGCATTCACAACTGCCGCTAAACATGGATATGCGGTATTAGCCAGTGACGGGCAGGGTATAAGGAAAATACTGAGAAAAGATTCGGAGGTAGGAATAATGACCAAAATGCGATTAATTTAAATGACTTGAGAGTATCTATCCAAAGACTCATACTCGCGTGGATCAATTTTTCTGCAATTTGTCTGAAGTATGAAAAGAAAGATAAGAAAATAGGCAACGAATTATGCAATCAAAAATTTAAGAGTAGATATTTCTATCGATTGAATTATATTCATTTCTGAAGTAGTTCAGTCTTGATTTAGCTTACTTTTTATTTTTTCTAAGTTCTAAGAATTGAAAAAAATAAAAAGCGAATTAAGTAAATTGAGATTAAATTTTTAATGTAACGAGCTACAGTTCCATAACACCATCGCTATTTTTTCTAGAAAAATCCGAATGTAATCCGATCTGGCACATGTATGTGGATAAAAACTGGAGCACCTATTCCCGAAGGTAAAGACAATTCTAACTAGAAATTAAATCTTTATTTACAGCAAAGAATTAATTACTGTTTTTATTTCACGATCGCAGGAGCAACAGCGGTCGTACCATTGAATGATGTCAGAAAAGTAGACTATAATGATAGTAATAAAGAAAACAATGGTAGAAATATTAATGATTGTGAAAAAAAATTTGATATCGAAATCTTAACCACTCCGCAAGAAAATGATAATATTAAGTACATAAAAACAGCTTGATATCTTTTAATGTTCCATACAACAAAATATTTTTGCAACATTGCAACAACATTATAATGCAATATTGTCGGAATATTTTGTATGGGACACTTTCCAAAATAGGCTTTGTCACAAAATAATTTATTTATTCGTATTTTCAAAGACCTGTGGGCTATGACATAAAGGAAGGAATGCACGTTCTACAGGAATGCACTCGTATCGGGCCAGCAGCAATGAGTATTTTGGCATTATGTGGACGTGAAAAAGTTATAGTTTTTAAAGTTCCATCCGTAGGTATATTATCCGTCGGAGATGAATTGGAAGAACCTGACACCTGCCCTTTAAAATCAAAATGCGTCTATGATGGTAATAGGAGAATGTTAATGTTATTATTAAAGGAACATGATTTCAATCCTGTAGACTACGGAATTTCGCCTTATAAGTAAGTGCATCAAAATTTATTATAACACGTATACTGTAATACCTGGTTTAAATTAGAAATATTTAGTTGTTATTATTATTCTTAATTAATTTAATAAATCTGACGAATGTTCTCACAGTAATGCAAGTAGCTTAATATCAAACATTCAGAGAGCGATAAAAGAAGTGAAGGTACTTGTAATATTAGACGGTACGAACAACAAAGATATAGTGAAACCTGTTTTAAAGGGACATTTTAAAGCTAATATGTATTTCGGTATTTCTTTTTACTTCAATTATCATAATCATATAATGTGCTGCAAGATGCATCTTTTGGAACATTGTTTCCTTTTTCAGATCGCGTGAATATAAAACCAGGAAAATCGACCGCATTAGCAAAAAGTACGTTCGAGAACGAAGATAAATATTTCTTTTGCATGTCGGCAAGTCCATCAGTCATATCCATCATCGCGCATGTATTGCTTCTACCATTTTTGAACGAACTGCGCTGCAACTTTTCCTATCAATTCCCCATCATGCAGTCTTACGTAAGGCTTGTCTTTTTTATAGATAGAAACATTTTATAAATGGGAAGGGACATGTATCATTGATATCTTTTTATAACATTGCAGTTAGAGTCAAAGACCAAATTGCATCAGCGTCCGCAACTTTCATGGGCGAAATTAGAATGGAACGATCTAGACACATTTCCAAGGGCTTACACTCCCACAAGCAATATAGGACATTGTTATAACATACTCAAATATGAAAAATCTAATGCAATTCTAATTTTGCCGCCTCGTTCACAGCACGCAACAGAATTATTCTCGGTATACGTAACGACACTTTTATTGAAATAACTTCCACCATATTTTTGATGGATTATTGCCAATCAACATTAGATTTATATATAATATTCATTTGAATTCGTTGAATTTTATGTAATAGATATTTCAGAAAAATATAGACAGAAAGAAATTGGAAGAATATAAAATAAATATAAAATGAATTATTCCGTAGATATCAAGTGATGTTCGTCTCAATTTTTCATTTTGCAATTTAATTGCCGAACATAATTTAAAGTAAAATTCTTATTAGATTTTATTAATTCTATTCATCTAGAATTTAAAGTCGGTTTTTTTTCAGAAAAATAAACATAATTTATATGTATATTACCAGTTTTATTTACCAGTTTTATTTATATTCATTTCACCTCTCCGAAAAGCCTCTCATGAAATCATCTGTAAAGTTCTTTGAAAATCAGTACCATCTCTTGATATCGTTGCTGAGAAAAATAAGCTTTCGGAAAAGCTTCCATATTCTTCGCCGAACATAACTTTCTTATAATGCGAACTTTATTTATATAATGCGATATCATAAAAAACCATATTTTGTTACATCACTGTTTTTATAATTTTGTAATGTAGATATATATAATTGCATCTCAATAAAAATGCTGATAATGCGTTAATTAGATTTTATCAAAAATAAACTACACAAAGCAAAATACATAAAGAAGAAGAGATTTCAGGATTTCTTTTCAATTGTATTTATCTATCTATTTATCTATCAATGATTTTGAGAAAACTTTATATTAGAGCTTCATATGTCTGATATTTTTAAAGACATTAAAATAACAGTAGGAAAATAGAACCAATGCGCACTTATACGTATTAAAAATGTATTGAATTGTTAATATTGTATTGCCTAATTATGCTTGAATGTCAAAATTGAAATTTTAAATACATTTAGAATATTTACAACTTAAAAAATAATTCCTTAAATACATGGTCTAAAATGTGATTTTATATATACTCATAATTTCATTAAATCATGAATTATGTACTAACAAGAAATTGACATTTCCTTAATATGTTTACTTTTTTTTCATGTTTTATATACTTAAATTCAATATGTATTACAAAATTGCACATATAACTAAATTCTATACATTTTTCACAGCTAAACGATTGTGAAAATATATAAATCTGCAGATGTTAATATGTTATCATATAACCTTATATCATACAATACAATTGTTAATAGACTCTCAAAAAAAGAATCTGTATTAAGGTGTCTGTACATTCAATTCTATAATGCTATACAATATTTATATACAAAATTATAAGATTTTATATACAATGTACTCATGTGTATTCTTGCATACTGCAACGTATTTCATTTAACATGATTAATTTTCTTCATTATTATTATACAGTCTCTTGATCAGTATTTCTTAATGATATATTCAAATGAGTGTTACTCTTTTCTTGTAAGGCTTCACAAGTGTCATTGACACTGTACACGCTTTTATCCAACAAATCTTGGCTAGAACAGACATAATTGTCAGTCTCTGATTTCATTGAACTATTGGTTTCCGATATCTGACTAAGATTAATACTCTGAGTTGCAAAGCTTGAATCTACAGAATATTCATTTTCACATCCTTGACTACATTGCGAATCATTCAGGTTTGCATCCTTCAGAAGTATGCTTTCAGATTTTTCTATCAAATCGCCATCGGTCAGTTTCAAATTAGATAAAGAATCAGTCTCAGGCTTTTCACTTTTGCTTGAATCTCTTAAATCATCTAATTTTTTGACTAGATCTTTCCAAGGATCTTCCAAGAAAGAATTCATATCTACATATGCCAATACATTTATTTGCTGATGCATTCCTCTATAACCCTATAAAGAAGATATAAAGAAAGATCAAGTAATTTGTATTAATCATTAATACTAGTTAAGTACAATCTCGCTGGTCCATCAAACACTTGCCTTTTTCCTCTGCCCATGAAATTGTTTGAGGGAATGTTTGTAGCCAGAGTACCGGTTATTGCAGTTCGATCTTTGCAAAGAGTGATAGTTATTGCTGTAATTGTTATACCAGCCGGAGCTACCTGGACTGGCGTTACCGCGGACACCGGCAGGGCTGTACCGATTAACGATATTACATTTATCATGTCGCGTCATTGACGTGCTAACGTCGAGAGGGATGAAATCGTCACTACGGCAAGACTGCGGCCCGTTGCTCACGGAGAAACGCGAATAACCTGCGTTACCCTCTACGGATTGGTAACCTCTATTCGTGCTCTCGCGCGACTTCCAATTATACGGCGTGTTTCTCGCATTGTACGGCCGACCACCGGGTGCAGCATTATTCAATGGTGATCTCTTCATTTTTCGAAAAATCAAGTGTGTATCAATTCTACAACGCGTGACGCACCGCGATGCACCTACATTCCTGAGGAATACACGCACCACACACGCGTGTATACATACATGCAATACGAATTAAGCATGCACACACACTCTCTTCCTCGCGCATGCGCTTCGGATGTTAAGCTACACGGTGCTTTTTTTGGTTGCTGGATTATTTGCGTACTCCTGTGCTGGCTATTGTACTGGCTACTATGCTGGAAATTATATAGCCTGCTGGCTATGCTGATAGCTGGTCTGTTGGATTTTTGTGATAGATCCGGTGCTATTTTTCTTGCGTTTCTTGTGCTGACTCATTTTGAAAACCAATCAAGATGCAGCTTTAGATTAAAATATTCTCTTCTCCAGGGTTTACAATAGGCAGTAGCAGTAGTGGATGAGTCGTAAGCCGTAACGCCTATTTTACAATGTGTCGCAAATCGCAAGCCACAAGAATTGACCAATCACAGATGAATGTGGGAGAATACTTGATTGTGATTGGCCCATTCTTATGGTCCACGACGATGACACCGACACACGCGCATTGTAGAACTTTAGCTTTAACCAATCTTAAGGTTCCCCGTACGGCGTAACTTGCGTAAGCGTAAATTGCCTCAACCAATCAAATTGTCTAATAGGAGTCTAGACGGAATTGTATAGAGTAGCTGAGACAATTTGATTGGATGATGCAGTTTACGCTTATGCAAGTTACGCTGCATGAAGAACCAGCCTGAAAGAAGGCTTTCAGAATGGCGTAACGTGTTTTAGTAAAATATTAGAATACGCAGATTACGTTACGCAAGTTACGCTGTATGTGATGGCACCCTTAAGGAACGCACTCTAAAGACAAACTTGCATAGCAGCATAACTATATGCATAAGGAAAATTATCCAATCACATTTTACACGTGTCTTTACGATAGAAATGCCATGATTATGTACCAACCATTATTTCAGTTGGAGCTTCAGAAAACATACTGCAACTGCGTTCCGCTTTATAATCTTGAAGCAGTTAGAAAGCGCACGAAACTAAATCGAAACGATAGCCGCAGTACACTTCCATTACGTCATAGTATGAGCACTCGAAGTGAATAAAGGAACGCACTCTAAATCTCGAAGTATCTCGATCCAATTGTTGGTGACAACAGGCATATGCTTTTAACATGAAAAAGTGGAGATTGACAGTTCATACTTATACTTATGTAGTATAGTCAAAGCTCTAATCTATCTCTGTAATCTTTTTCAATTCTCCCGCGAAAGAATCCCTGCCCCCCTAAGCAGAGCCATCTTGCGGCTTAATCAATCAATAATTTTTTTCCCCATTCGCCATGATCGCTCGTGGAGACCTGTTTGGACATCAGCCTACCACATGGCCCGTGTTGGCGCCGTTTTGGAAGTCGTGGCCATTTTCGAGGAGTATCAAGTATCAAGTATCTTTTTTCCTGGCGGTTTAAAATTCAGTTCTGTCATCAACTAATATTTAATGCAAAAAGAAGAAGAAACATCTTAAGATTTATCTTTATAAGAATTTAGGGGAATACAGGGAGAAGAGACACAAGGCTAAAACGATTATTAAAGTTTCTAATAAAAATGAATTCTACAATTAACAGGTTTCTACTATTTTATAATATTTGTTTTCTTTTTGAATATATTATTTTCCTCTCTTTTTAAAAATAGCTTTATAGTACTAATTAAAATCTTTGAAATTTTTTCTTATATATTTTGTTTAGACAAACTTTGTGTACTACGAAAAAGCTATCGTCCGAAAATGTGCAATGTTTAAAGACAGACGCAAAAGATCTTTATCCCATTCTATTTAAAACAAATACCATAATTAAATTATTTGCATCTAGATGTCGAATAAGAAAAACTACTCGTACTATGGCAAAAATTTCAAAATATCATATCTTGGAGAATAAAAATAAAGGACGAGATATATGTCACAAAATTCTAAGTACATATATTGGGAATAATTCTGAAAATGTATTTCTTAATTTAGATAAAGTTAGGCTTGAACTGTCACCAATATTGGAATTGTTCAAGAACAGACATAATAGATTTAACTATTTTGATAACTTAAAACACATAATAGTAGAAAGGAGCAAAAAATATGCAAGAAAAGGATTACAAAAAAATCAAATTCATCCCCGTTTGTTGCTATCCTTCTTTAGTTTGATATTGTATAAAAATGTTCCTTTACAATTGTTTGGCACCCTAAGAAATATAAAAGTTATAAAGAAGATGATATATAGTCTTTTAAAAACAGTTCCAGAAAAAGTATCAATATCAAATGCTTTCAAAAGAAAATTGAGACCAACAAAAGCCACTGCAGCATCATTAAACATACAAAAATTTATAAAGCAATTGGATGTACGTTCTATTAACATTAGCAAACAGATTTTCAATCTTGTTGACTATTAATGCAATATTTTTTATAATTTTTGTAATTTTTTTAGATTTTCAAAATTAAATGGTTACATTCAATCAATAATAATGATGGAAAAGTGATAATTATATTGAAGTTATTACATTGGTTTCTTAAACAATATATTATTAAAGTTTTACATAAATATGTGGTTTTGACAGCATGTAAAAAAAAGTGGATTTTTATTTCTAAAGATGATTGGTGCACAACATTGATAAAATTTATCGAAGAAAAAGAAAATAGTCTTATACCATGGACAAAACCAAATAGGAAGCGTAATATTGGGACATATACATTAATTTCAAGTTCTTCTAGTTTAAGAGCATTATTTATAGCAAGGTATATAAATTTAATTTAAGAAATATTTTTGCTATTTATACTATAAAAAAATATAAATAATAAATAAGTAACATGTATGCGTGTGTATTGCGCGCGCACGCACACACACACACCACACACACACCATATGTCACATATTCTATATATATATATATATATATATATATATATATATATATATATATATATATATATATTATATGCAATTTTAGATATAATTCGAAAAAAGAATTTGAAGCTGAGGTTATTTTAAGATTCCTGCAACAATTATACGTCACATATTTTTAATAAAAAATGGAATCCCAACTGTAAAAGGTTGCATAAATGATATTAATGCCTTTAAAAGTTCAACTAATAATCAGTTATATTTTGTTTCTTGTGACATTCAAGATGCATTTGGTTCAATACTACAAGGTAGAATTATTTCTAATATTACTAATTTATTACTAATTTAATACACTTTTAATAAACATCGATAAACATATACATTATTTATTATATTTTATTTTATTTCAGAAAAGTTATATAATATTATTAATATGTGTTGCAAACAGTTAGAGGAGTATCTCCCCAATACGAACTTTTTATTTTTAAAAAACTAAAGGAAACAAAATAAATAAAAAACAGTGCGATTTGTATCTCTTCCATCTCTTAATTTTATGAAATCAGTTGTCATCCCAATGCAAATAAAAAAGCCCAAATTAGTTCGAACAAAAATTTTGATGAATAAACTATACAAATTAATATATCAGCAAAAGGTAAAACAAATATATACATGAAGTTAACATTTTAATTATTAAATATGTTTATTGTAGGTTAAGTTTAATAATCAAGTATATTCGATAAGGCGTGGTGTGCCACAAGGTATACGAATATCATCAATTTTATCTGATATATATTATCAACACATGATCAATGAAAAGTTTGCTGAATATGCCAACAATGGACTTTTTGACGCAATATATGTTGACGATATCATATATATTACTGAGAGTGATCATTATGCAAAAATGTAATATGATAATCTTATAATTGCTTATTATATACATGCTTGCGCGCGCAAACATATTCACTGACATACGCACACATGTAACATGTATGTGAGTGAGTGAGTGTGTGTTGTTGTGTGTGTGTGTGTGTGTGTGTGTGTGTATGCCCGCGCGCGCCATGTATGTGCATATTACACATATTAAATTGCATGTGAACATATGTGTAACATGACAGTGAGCACACACCGAATCGGTCACACGATATCATCAACGCTGTTCGTATCACGCGTCGCTTTCTCCAGTCATCAGCAACCGCGCATTTCATCGAGTAAAGAGTTCGGTGTATTGCTTATTGTACACATATAGATAAAATATAAAATATAAAAATTTACATTGTAATTAAATTTTTATAGGTTTCTAGAAAAAATCAGAAACGGCATACCTGAATACAATGTGACGTTCAATCCTGATAAAATACAATCAAAAACAAATCCATCCAAAGGACCCATCAAAATAAAATTTTTAAAACAGATTATAACATTGTAAAATCGATCTAATAAAATATTCTTACTGTTTAAGTTTTTCTTTATATTTATTATTATAGAAAAAATATCTATTGATATTACATTTTTCCCGTTAATATACTATATCTATTTAAAGTTCTCGCGTTTTCATTATCATAAAAACTAAGATTTTGTTCGAGATGAAGTTTGATACCAAGCTATATTCGTTCTGCAAATAAAATATGTTTCCTATTTCAGATTATAATTATGTGATATTATATAGATATACAGATTATATTATATATAAAGTTCATTATCAATTAAGTGGAATTCTTTTATTTAATTTTAAATTTATAAATTTAATCACTTTATTGAATACGATAAATCATCAATTTTACAAAATGCTTATCTATGCGCGCGCGCGCGCACACACACACACACATACACACACAAGTATATCCTTACGATTGTAAATGCATTTGATGCTACAAACGCTTGGAAGCGTTTGATTAACCAATCAAAAAGAATTTTATGAATATTAATTAAAAAAATACTATATATATAATAAAGTTATATCAGAAAACAAGATAATGATTGGCTACCGCGTTGCCGCGTTACCGTTTTGCCGCGTCCTGTGTGTAACCAGCCTAATTTAGCAAGAAATCTAGCAACCAAAAAAGCACCGTGTGCTGCCGGCTTAAGTTCAGTTAAAAACAGATCTAATAAAGCCAGCGGTACACAATGATTTTTTCCTGCTGGTTTGCTAACTGCGTGCTTACTGAACTCTTGTCTTCAATTGGTATATTTTTTTATATCTAAAAGAGTGCCACTGGCTTAAGATACACTTCGCTAAGTGTCGGTTCACAATAGGTGATTTAAGCTTTAAGAAGTAAGAAATTGATCAATCATAATCGAATGATAATCGATGAAAAGAATCGCTTATGATATGATAGGTCAATTTCTTAAAGGTTTAAAGATTAAATACGTACAATATCTTATTGTAGTGTCGGTCCACAATAAGTATTTAATCTTTAAGCCGTAAGAAATTGATCAATCATAGTCGATTATTCTTTTCATATTCGATTATAATTGGTCAATTTCTTACGTCTTAAAGCTTAAATCACCTATTGTGGACCGACACGTAGACGGAGACTAAAGCGGTATCTATAATGAGACTTTAAAACATAAACTTAAAAAATTGGCCAATCATAATCGATTTATAGAAGAATAACTGATTGTGATTGGTCAACTTCTTAAGCTTACGTCTTAAAGTCTCATTGTAGACATCGCTTTAAAACGCTACAGCGTTATAGACCAATCCGAGCACAGCCTAAAATCAATCTTAAGGTTGTACATAGGACTCGATACATGGCAACGTGATAGCCAATCACTGTCTTGTTTTTTGATATGTAATTTTGTTATGTAACTTGATATGTAACTTTGTATTCACGATGCTAGAAATCAGTCCGAGATTTCGGATGGAAAAAGAATTGACTAATTGCGTTTGAATAATTTGGCCAATTAACCAATGCGAATGGTCAATTCTTTTTTCATCCGAGATTTTGGCATCGATTTCTAGCATCGTGGACACAAAACTTAAGAACATTGAAGTTCCAATATAAGGTCGAGACTTACATATATTTGTTTTTATTTATTTAGAAAGAAAATTAAAGATAGATATCTATTTGTCTCGCTTAAAGTTAAAATAACGTTGATACAACCAGATCTTAAACACATATTTGTCTTTATCATTTTTTCTAAATAAATAATTGCAGACATATATTTAAGTTTCAAGATTTAAGCAAAATAACATCTAATTAGTGCCTTGAATTTCTAAGTTTACCAATTACATTAACAGATTACTAAATTATTGTGCAATTATTGAACTCGCTAAACGCAACCATTCCAAGAGACCAATCAGGAGCCACAAAATGGGACATGGGAACATTTCCTCCTAAGAGAACGTCACCGAAGCGGAAACGGGAGGAAAGGAACGCGTCGCACAGTTGGCAGCACTGTCCTCGCGCAACGAACGCGAGTCAGAGCATCGGCGTCGGTGATTCGTTGTGTGCGTACGTACGTGCCATTTTTTTTTTAACGTGACTCACTGAACTACTACGACTATTCGGTGAGCGAGGCTCAGTGATAACGATCGCGTGTACGTCGGGGCTGCTTGTACGTCGATTTCAGTTTCTTCGGTTCTGCTCGATTTTCCACCCCTGCATCATCGATGGATACGTCTGTCGGTTACCACGCTACCTCGGAGACATCGGCGGCTGGAACGGTAATATCATTCTGTAAACTCTCGCTCTCAATCACTCCTCCTCCCCCTCTCGTTCCCTCCGTGGGGCAAACCGACACAACCGCGTCGCCTGTTTACTCTTTGCCCGCCCGTGTAAAGCCTGTCAAATCAATCAATAAATTGAATGATCGGCGTCGTGGGCGACGCGAGCGATCGTGATCGCTGACTTCTCCCAATAGGCAATGGTTGGCAATACTTTCTTTTTTCAGAGTAGACTCGTCTTGTCTTCGACCGCCATTTCGGCCATCTGCTCTTTCCTCTGTTCCCTCGTTTTCTCGCGTCACGCCGTGACGTTTTTTTTTTTTTCGATTTTTTTCTCTTATTTGCTTTCGATATCTCATTCGAAATATCGCGCAAGTTATTCGTATAGTACGAAAAAAAAGGAAAGAAAACCATTTGGATTTGGAATATCGTAATTCGGGAATCGAACCAATGATAAAATAAGATGATGGGTTGGGCGAGGAAAGAGGTGGCGAGGCCGCCTGCTTTTAGGCGGGATCCTTTATGTTATATGCGCGTCGCATCAGGTTCGCATAAGACTAATGTTCATTTTTTTCTAATCTTTTATTAATTTTATTCTCGGTTTAGTTTACCCTATATCTTTTTCTAATTTTTAGAACTAAAGAAATAAAAAATAAATTAAACTGAAATTAAAATTAAATTTCTACATTGGTAGAAATGGACCTATAATAAATTTAGGCGTTACATCGCCTTTGTATAAAGCATTACTTTTCCTCAAGGAATTGATAACGATGCTATACATATATGTATATATACTTTTTTTTTAATACTAATTACATACTAACATTGTATCAATTGATAATATGATATGTATTGATATTTTTATAATTTTATGATCAGTATTATTAACAATATTTTAGCTCAGTTTTATGTACATTATATAATCCAGGAAAATAATAAAAATATTAAAGCTCTACAAAAATAAACAATATATAAATATATATATATATATATATATATTTAGTAATATTTATTATCACGAAACTACACTGATGAAAATGTTAACGCATCTTCAGCACGCAATCAATATTAATTTATTAATATTATCAATATTATCAGTATTATTAATTGTATAAGATTTGTATCACAAATGATTTTAAAAATAGATCTTAAAGATTTAGTGAAAAAATAATTGCAATGATTCACTACTTCTTGAATAACTAGTTACTTTTCAAAAATAATTTTTTCAACCTTGTGCTCAAATAAACAATATTTTGAAAATACTTGTTTTTATAAAGTTACAATTATTATATTAATATCAAACGAGACAATTATGTAATGCGAAAAATAAAGAAACATTCTCGGTTTATAAATAATAAAATAATAATTAGAGATAATAAGATAAATTTGTATGCTAGATTTCTACACTTTTCTGCACGTATCAAATTACGCAAAAGTATCAAATTATGCAAAAGAATTATTTGATCTAAAAGAAGGATATCTGTAGAAATTTAAATATGAAAATTAAATTATCTCATATAATATATCTTATTAAGTTATTAACCTAGTGGATGTTTGTTCCAGAAGATGGTGTCATCCAATCAACCGGTAAGATTATACGAATATGTATTCTTCTAATTAATTAGTCTGTATATTATAAAAAATATTAAATGAATATCTTGTTGAGATATAAAAGATTAGAACTGAGATCTTAACTTATTACAACAATGCAATAAAATGCTCAGTGTATTTTACATTATTGTAATTTTATACATTTTGTAAAATTATATTTAAACACACCTGAGCAAGAGTAAGCAAGTCTCGAACAGACACCATACTTTCTTTAAAGGACGTATGGTCGACTTCTGAGATACAAATCTAGTATTTTTATTAGTTTTATTTTATCTATTATATATCGCAATCTGTACAATGTAATAATAACATATATGTGATTTATGTTTTGCAGAGAAAAACAAAAATATTTGTCGGCCGATTGCCAGAAAATTGTCGCAATGATGAATTACGGCAATTATTCTTGCGTTTCGGTGAGGTAACCGAATGCGACGTAATGAATCGATATGGCTTCGTTCACATGGCACGGGAGGAGGATGCAGCGGCGGCGATTAAGGCACTTCACAATTCCAACTTCAAGGGGGCGACGATCAACGTGGAACAGTCGACCGGCAAATCACGTGGGGGCGGAGGAGGACGCCGAGATGACAGAAGAGGTGGACCAATGAGAGGTGGTAGAGGGGGACGAGACGGTGGTAGAGACGCTCGTCCTGGACCATACAATGATAGAAGAGGTTGGTATTGTTTGCACCTCAATATTGTACATTCCGACAAGACTATTTTCTCATTTAATTTACCTCAAGTATATACTTTGCCCTGTACATATGTTTATGCCACACTTAATATGATTTTAATACTTAATATTTTCCTAATATTTTTCATTTATCTCTCGTTATTTTTTTCTTTTTCTTTTTTTTTTTTTGCTTTCTCCTAATTCTCTGCACTAACAAGCATTAAAAGTAAGGGACTCGCCTCGCTTAAACAGCCTAGCGACTTCTACGCCACATTCTGTGCGACATTTCGTTGCGGTAGGCATTTGAGAAAATAGTATGTTGGAATAAAAATGACGTAACACATAATGTATACTTAAAAATCAATTCCATATCTCGGCGTGCTTTGCAGTTCTTCCGATCCAACTCGTTGGTTACGATGGATCTGCTGCAGGTGGCGTCGCGACTGGGTACACCGATTACAATCGCGGGGCTGGCGACTTTAGCGGCCGTGGAGCGGACTTCGGTGCCGGCTACGCCGACCGCGGGGCTTACGGTCAGAACGTGGGCGGCGCGGCGATGGGTTACACCTCAACGGCGCCAGGTATGGGTGGCGGATACGGACCGGCTGCCGGCACCGTGGGAGGATATGGGCCGACCGGTGCGGCGGACTACGGACGAACGGCTGACTACGGTCGCGCCGATTTCGGTGCTAGGACAGATTATGGTAATTGCGCGATGGTGAGTGGCGTTTGTGCAGCTTTGAAAGTATGTGATCCTGTACTATAACCATAATGTCCGCGTTCTATATCGCACAGGTGTGCGATAGTCGCATAAATTAGAGGAAGAACGTTATTTCGTGGCTCTCAACTCGTTACACGGGACATTATAAATATAGACAAATACAATCTTGGTTTGAATTGAACATTGGAAAGATGACATTCTTTCAGAATGTCTGAATCTGTCGCTTGTATTTTACATTGTATTGAAGAAGATAACTAGATAAGAAAAAGTAAATAGTAAACTAATTAAAAAGCACATTAAGTACATTAAGATGAGAACTAATGTTTAATTATTTATAATTCTCTAATCTCTCTGATGATTTTTTCATCTATTATTTTTTCCAATATATTTGTTGATTCTTTAATTCCTGTTACTGAGACTTCTGTGAGACGCATGAGACAGCAAGAGACACACAAACTTTCCAAGTGAAACAAACGCTAGACGTTGATGTAATTCAGGATCTTAATATCATGTTGTTTGTAGTTGGTGGCGGCATGGCCGGAGATTTCAATCGTGGCGCACCTGGCCCAGTAGATTACGGGCGTACTGATAATTTTGGTGCCAGTCGCACGGTCGATTACACGGCTAGAAATGATTATGACCGAAGTGCGGCTGGACCGATGAGAAACGGTGGTGGCGCTGTTGCCACTACCGGGTATGGAACTGGGTACACTGATGTGGGATATGATGAAAGCCATTGGTAATGTAGCTGCTAATTATCTTTTCTTTTTTCCTAAAAAATTATAATTTTTAAATCTGTTGCATTTTTAATCATCTCAAATCAAAATGGATGTGCAAATGCATTGTGATGCACATCAACAAATATACTAAAAGACATGTTTTTTTTATTTATATTCGTAACATATATCGGAAAACGAGTTCACACAATTTGCAAATGCTTACTTCACTTTGATTCGAGAGAATGCAATATTAGTTATTTTTAATTAAAAAGTTTAATTAAAAAATAATACATGAAATTTAATCAAATCTTTGATACATAATCTCATAAATCTACAGCAATATTATTTTTGACTGATGAGAAACTTATTACATACGATATCAATTTTATTAAATTTGTTATATTCAATTTTTTATAATATAACTTAGATTTAATTAAATTTAGAACTAATTCAAATGCAGTGAAATGTAGATTATTTCGATAATTTACGCATGCTGAGGTCTCCATTAATAAATGCAGATTTCAGAAAATTATAGAATTTGTATTTGATTATTAAAAATAATTACATAAAAAAATTATTATATGCGTTTATTATAGGAGACGCAGTAAGTTTCATAATCATCTACATTACACTGTATAACTTTATTTTACTATTTTTTCCATTACAACAGCTCATTACACACATGTGAGAAAATCTTTTTTTATTTAAATTGAAGATTATTTTTTAATATAATAAGGTTTGAATGTCAACACTGAGAAATGTTAACTTTTTTGTTATGCTATGTATAAACTTCATGCAATTTTCAGTGTAGACAATCAAACTTTTTCTATTTTTAAGAATTTAAGTTTAAGTTTTACTATTAAAAAACAATTGGCTTTTAAATCTCAGAATTTGATACAATTTAATTATTAAGTTTATTTTTAATGTATTAAGTTTGCTATAAAAATGTGGGTACAAATACGTTTATAATTGGTAAAATAGCAGTTTAACGAAATTCGCAGAGCTTCCAAAGAAATTTTACAAACAAATTTGTTTTTTAAACTGTTATCGTTACACTTTATTTTTATTCTAACCTGAGAGGCTTTTTTAAATGTGTAAAGTGCAGAACAATCTGAAACGATTAAACAATATATTACAGGATTGTTCGCGTAGTGATGTAGCAATATAATTAATAATTGTATAATAAATATATGTAATATAATACAAAATCATTAAGTATTGTCGCCCAGGATAGAGTGAAAATCAGTTAACAATTAAATTATGTACAACAGGGGTTATCCGGGCGGGCCAGGGGATATGATGGGTGGGCCTGGGGGGGTAAATCAGGGACCTACGATGGCCTACGAAAGGAGGGATGGTCCTCCCGGTAATGATATGCCTCCATTTAACAGGCCAATGAGCACTGGACCTAACTACAGCACAGGGGCACCCAGTTATAGCACTGGTCCAGGACCACAAGCTGATATGTTTAGCAGAAGACCTGGCAGTGCCGTGCCCAGTGGTGGATATCCACCAGTAGCTGGCGGGTGAGTAGCAAAAGTTAATAATATTCTTTTAAAAGTAAGGTGTTCTTTTTTTTTTTTTTTCTTTTTTTCGTTGTGACTAACAATGTTCTTTTTTCTGTCATGCTATAGTTATGCCGAGGGATATGACAGACCAGATGCATATGGTCCTCCCCGTGGCGGCGGACGGTAAGTTTCACTTTATTAATATATCCCGTACTTACTAATCTGTGTCATTGACAAAACTGCGACTATGAAAAGTAATATACGTTGCTGACACGTTTAAAAAAGCGAAGGGAATCCCATATGCGTACGCTTGTCAATCTGGCGTCTCCACTCTTTTTTGCGCTACACACGCCTCCCTCGTTCTCTTGCCTCGATTATTGTGTAACACATGCAATTTCTACATGCGGATTCGATGCAGGTTGAATATTTCTGTAAAAGTATAAGGTGTGACACTTAGCGCGACACTCGACCAACATTACGGGAGCGTTCACCCTTCGTCGCGTACGGTGCCGTTTTGCGTATATGAATCGTCTCTTCCATCGATCGGTGTAAGGAGCCAACGTTTCTATTTTATGGGTGTAAAAGAGAACAGAGGCTGAAAATCACCATGGCGCAAAATCCTACTGATCTAATAACCGCTCATAACTGATGATACGCATTGTGTTTTACACACATTTATATAATTTATTTTATATATTACATAAAATTTTCCAAATATTCGGTACACGTTTTATAAGTTATTTGTTTTAACCAGTTACTATAACGCTTCAATATTAAAACATTTTAAGACGAACCGATAAAAATATGAGGAAAGAGAAATTATTTGAGAAATATTGATACACTTTGAGATCTTCGAGTCTGAAATCTTTGAATCTGAAATTAAACATCTTTCTATTGTTACATGTAATTATGCGGTTCACATCGATTTGGGGAATTTGTCGCCATTATAACATTATTACACCGATGATAGATCGCCTCTCTTCTTTTACGTACTCCGCGATGAAGGTCCTCGAGCATGACCATGGTCCATCTAAGATGCGCTGTGCGATCAGCCTGCGGCAATTCCGTAGTGGCGAAATGCGCTCGAAAAAGCAGAAACATTTCTTTCGCAAAATATTCGGTAAAAGAGATATCTTCGGGTACGCGGCCTAGCTTCTGCAAGTAATTTCGCAGCGCAGAGAATGTCCCGCGAAAGTTTCTGCGATTTACATCTCGGAGGAGATGGGGATCTTTGATCTTGCATCCGTCCCGCGCGTTCATCGCGAACACAAACTGACCGCCGCGACACTGCGCCTCCGCGCATCGCAAACTTGCAATCTACGAAGCTATACAAATGCACGTCCTTCGCATTTGCTCTCCTCCACCCACTAAGAACGCTTTCTGAAACGCTTTTTCAATTCGGCCTTCGTTCCGAGAAACGAAAAAAAAAAAAAAGAATGCGTTGCGTTGTAGCCCACTGCGCCCACGTCCGACAAAGGTCTTCGACATCGTGAGACTTTTGAGACGCTTCCGTTTTCCACGAATCGATTTTCAAACGCACTTGCGACAAGATGCACGGAGAGACGATGCGGAGACGCGATTGCGACGTGTCGCTCAATTTCTTACATGTACGACAGTTAGCCAGAACTGGGTGTGATTCATCAACTCCTTTGTTTTTGTCAACTCCTTTGATTATTACTACATATTCAGTGTTCACATTAAATTAAATTACTCTTAAATTCTTTATAACATATAACACGCCGTCACAATGCACTCATTGATTTTGAAAAAGTAATAATATATATTTTATAAAAAAATTCATTAGCCATCATCCGTGAGTGATGAAATTCCTTTTGTTAATTTTGGTTTTGCTCGAGAAAATAAATTTAACAATTGTATATAGATAGTATATAGATTCACAGTCAACGACGAAAGAACGCCCAGATCTGGTAGCTGTTGCCTCTCGGCAAATCTGCGTTATATGCGCTGCGACGTGGAACAAAAACCAAAAAAAATAAAGAAAGAAAGAAATACATCCACAAGGCTTCCTTAACACCATACCGTTTGCCCGAGTCACGATTTCGATCCCGCGTCTGGACGCGCCCCGTGATGATCGCGCATGCCAGTGTTACATCTTATACTTTCCTCTTGCTCCTTGCATAGCAAGGCGATCACGTAATTAATTCTGCGATTTTTCATTTTTCTGACCTTTTAGCTTCCCAGGTCCGGCAGACGCGATGCCACCGAGGTACTAAAAGTGTAGTAAACGCACTAGCGCATGCGAAAGGCGACCGTAACGAAAAAAAAAAACAAAAAAAAAACAAAAACCGTAAAAAAAAAGACCACCGCCTTTTAGCAGCGATCATTCGCTTGTCGGACTCGATTATCTAGGAACTGCCCTCTGCGTTCGTCATTGAGTCCACGATAATTATAATGAAACCTATATAAAACTTACAATAGAACTTAATAATGTTTACTTGTACCGTAAAATATGGTAAGGCTAAAAGAAGATTATCAATAGATGATATATAAAGAAAAATTAATTGAATTTAAGCTCAGTTTTTTTTAATAATATCGTGAATAAGTTTATATATAAATTGATTTATTATTGATAAATTTGCTATGTTAGTAGCTTATTGTATGTTTGAAGAGAATTTTCGGTATTATATTATTCATGCAGTTTACGTTCATAATTTTTTTTCCTTATTCCCTTTTTTTGTGAAGTAGAGAAAGCCCGGTGTTATCTAGTGTGAGTTTATATTTGTGTGGGTAATATATTTTTTTGACTTAATTCTCATAATCACTACCCACATTGTAGCGTATAGATAATTCTGTTGTACTCTATAGCATTAATTCTACAAAAGGTGACTTATGACTACAATAATGATGCTGTATAATCTTTTTTTTTATACATAAGAACTTGAATAATGTTTTCAAACATTTATTCATAAAGCAGAGAATAGATAGCAGTTATCACAATGTACCTTTATATAAAAACAAATAAAGTGCAAATGTGAATGCCCTGAAATAATTTTTATAAAAGAGTCTCCAATAATGGAATACTTCTCACTTCTTCTTGCAGTCTTTTTGTATGTAGTAAAATTATCATTAGATTTAATTATTTGTTAATTGCCAACATATGTTATTATAAAATAGAATACATCATCAAGTAATATTTATTTTTAGTGTAATTCACATAAGAAAAAGAATCATACTGCTCATAAGATATTTTATTTTTCCTTGTCATATTAACATTTTTATTATGAGTGTTTAAGTATAATTTTTATTTTGACAGTATATGATATATTTAGCTGATTCAGTTATCTTCGTAGAAAAGATCATCAAATTATAGCAGCGACGTCGAATAGAATATTAATTATTCATCTAATACATGAACTTGTGCCATTCGTAGGAGCGAGCAGAGCAAGCAATTATTTAGCAATAATCAGCGTGCGTTCAACTATGTTATTTAATGTTAATTCTTAATTCGACGACGTTGTGCATTGCAACCTTGAATTACTTTCAGATTAGTTTAGTGACAGTATGCGAAAATTGTTAATTTTTTTCTTTATTTTTTTTTTTTTTACAAAAAAACGATATTCATCGCGGTGTAAAAATCCGTCTAAGTAATAAAGTATCTCGACAAAAATTTTAAAAGAAGATTGGGAGAAACGTAAAGAATTCGATGACAATGCAAAACGCCGCCAATCTCCAGCTGGTGCAGAGTTCACTTAGTTAGGCCTGTACTGTGAAAATGCCGATTTGTGAACGTGCGGTGAACGCGTTGCCGAAACACGTTAACCCTGGTGATGGCGGCGGCGACAGCGGCGGCGGCGGCAGCGGCGGCGGCGGCAGCTTGTCGACCTGCGATTATTGAAGAAACCGATTACGACGATTTCTCGCTATGCGTGGCTACCTGTAGATGCGACGAGCGGCGAATAAAGCAACCTGCGATATGTGGATAATGCGCCACAAATTGCGTTTGCGCTCAAAGCTGGCGTGCTTTGAATTTAACCAGGAAAAGGTATGTTCAACGCGTGCGAACCTTTATACTTTATCTGTTGAGACAAAACCAAGAGCGCCTATCTCGGGGGAATAGGGAGAGAGTCTACCACCTATCATACCTATATATATATTTATATATATATATCAGTGTTCCATAAGTGCGAATGGAGAATGTCCGGTCGAACAAAACGTAAACCGTTGATTATCGAAGCGCGTGCTAAAGAAAGCGGCCGCTATTTCTTTTTGCTGATCTCTCGAGCGTGTTGCACATTGCGACAGAAATGCATCGATTCTAATTCCATCTCTGCCACGTACACTCGCGAAACAATTCTCATTAAGATGCAACTAATATAATTATCTACACCTACACCTCTGTTAAAACGAATCTGCATTATTTGATGTTTCATTTTTTTTTAATCTTTTTTTTTAATTTAATCGGGAAATTATTAAAAAACTCTTATTATATATATTCTTTTTATTATATTTAATGACTTACACAATTTTTTCTATATAAGTTTTATAATTTAATAAATCGTAAAATTGTTTGTATTAATCTACAAATGTCAAATGTGTTCCAATCAACAATGATACAACGATACAATTCGAAAAATATAATTCTTCTAATAATTGATATATGTAAATTAGATTGATTAAAAATTGCATCTCGCGACATATCGAAACCTATCACAGTCTCCCTTAGATTAATACATTTATTGGTGTCTCATGAGATGGAATTAGAGCGCAAAGTGAAAACGAATGCGATGCGTAAATTGGAAAAAAACGCATTCTGATTTCTCGCTAACTTTACCGCCCGTAGTTTGCGGATTCGTTCGATTTAACATCCTTACCGTCGTCGAATCAATTTTAAAATTCCACTCGTATCTCGCGATGAAACTAAGCGCCATGTTGTGACATGTTATGTCTTCGGAAAACAACTTATATCTTGATGGATCTTGATAGAACGTTTTCTCAATTGTCGACCTGTACAGCGCTCCTGTTAACTATTTCGAGATGCATTACATTTTTTGTTGTGTTTCCAAAAAAGTGCACTTTTTCATTTTATGAAATATTTATCAAGCAAGATACATATGTACTCTTTATTTCAAACTCAATTTCACAAATTATAAAATCATGAAAAGTCAATTCGTAGAAAAAGTAAAGTAACATACAATGGCTTTACTAATTGTCAATAATCTCTCCGAGCATTGATTTTAACTGGCGTTCATATATACAAATATACGATAATACTATAAACTAGCTTATTAAGCCCACAATTTAGTGGGAGGTTTTATATACGTTCCATATAATAAATAAATTTTTTTAATAGATTACAAACGGGATGAGGACAGACTGATGGATATTGAGATGAACTCAATGGGAACTGCTAATAATCCCCAGAAGCATTCACTGTCAGTGAACTCATTTACTCGTCCGAAGGATGAGAATTAGATGTGAAGAAGATGGATAATAATGCCTGGTTGTTTGTAACAAGAAGTAAGAAAGCAGACTGAAGTGAAATACAGAATTGCTATTCATTATATATATTCTTTTCACGTAATACATAAACATTGCTTAAACATTGTTAATACTATCTACAATAAAATAATTCACTTTTTTTTAGAGATAATAAAACTTTCTGATGATATACATATTTTTCCTTTAATCCTCTCTCTAAACTTATTAAATTTAGGAATGCTTATTGAATATTCTCTTTCATTATCTAGTATTCTGACCATACCATCTTCATCTAATATTATATCTTGTTGACAAGAAAAATATATATATGATGAAGAAAGATAAGAAATTGAGTCTAAAGTTTTATACATAAATTTCATAGTTTAAAATATGAAAATACAAATTTGTAAATATATGTATTAGATATATAACTCGTTTAGGCCGTAAAGTAGGTTAGCAAATATCAGTAAGCATATATAATATGCAATGCTTTACTTTTTTATTCCATCACCTTCCGGTTAGTGATATCTTTATGAATCATTAACAGTTCTTACAGTACCAAAAGCAAACGAAGAACACATTCAATTCTCAAGAAACGGAATTGTGGAGAAACGGAGAAAAGCACTCTGAGTGATTATTACTTTTTCATATATCTATGGGATTTATTAATCTTATCATAAACTGGGTTCAGGTCCAACACCGCCCGCGAGTTTGTACACGGCTGAAGCTACCTCCATAGCGAGTTTATCAATATCCGATGAGTTCACACATTCTGCATAAACCCGCACGATATTTTCAGTTCCGGAAGGCCTAGAAAAAATTCAAAAAAATTAAAAATGAGATTATTAGGCATTTAAGATCCTGCCTCACTCACATATTTACTAATAGAATTATTTATTGATATTCTTCGTTTATTACATTGCATTGTTTTTTCCAAGCAAAGCTTTGTGCATAAATAAAAAGATTTATACCTAACAAAAGCTCGACCTCCTAGATATTTTAAGACAATATCGTCGATTTTTCTTTGCAAACCAATGGGAGTCAAGCAGCATCTTTCCGCATTCGTTGTTGTTATGACATTTTTATCTTTCACTCTGACTTTGAGTTGCTTATTCGGGAAATCTTCATACATTTTTTCCCACTTGATAAGATCGTAGTCTCGGTCATGTAATATAGTCTCGACTAGTAGCATATCGCTCAATGCATCGCCGACCGTTTCGTTGATTAAATCTATTATATCCCTCAGCTTTGTGGAGGCTATCTTTTGTGCCTCAGGAAGCGTTTCATCCTTGGCATGATTCCTAATGATCTCTTTGGCATCTTCCTTGAAGATGACGGTTCCATGTCCATTTGCTTCGAAGTAGACTCCAATGTCGAATTCCTGCGCTTTTTTATGTAAATGTTTTACTCCGGTTGGCACACATGCCACTTGGATTCTTAAATGACGCATAAGCATGGTCGAACAGCCGTTGGCATATGCGGTTTGCACTACACCCAATTGCAGAGATAAACCACTTCTTATCAAAAGATTCTGGAAATAAACAATCACTAGCGTCGCTATTCGATCTCCGTCCAGAAGATGAAATTTGTTATCTTCATCTGTATAAAAATACACCACTCTATCGGCATCTCCGTCTATGCTGACGCATTTGACATGTGGCTCGGATGGCATGTTCACAGGCGACTTCTGTTGCACTTTGACATAATCTGCACCGCACATATGATTCAAGCCCTCGCTGCCATCATTAAAAAGCTTGATATCCAGTATACCCTCCAATTGTCTTTGAAATTCCCTTGCTGCAATAGCGCCGACGCCATTTGCAGCATCCAAATATAATATACTCTTATAATTTTTGCTAATTCTCTTGGTGTTATGCTTTCTTATGCTTTTGAATACTGTTACTAGCTTCGAATAATATCCTTCTAGCGTGGGCTTGCCATAGGCTCCTTTGGTGTTCGTGCACACCACAATATAATGTAGCTGTGGAGTTGTGACTATTTCTAAATTTATAAAATTGCCGTGCAAAGCTTCGACTCCTGCTATTGCAGCATATGAAAGAGTAAAACCACTTTTGCGAGTATCTCTTCCTATTATCACATTAGCTGGCACTGACATGTCAATATTTTCCTTTGTGCATATATCTGTAAGTATTGATATCAGTTCACTATCCTCTGCATTAGCTAGTTCCGTCGCTATTATTTCCCAAGAAGCTTCGAGCATTTCACCGGATGGATCGACAAGTTTAACACCATTGTCAGGTTCCAAATTATGACTCGCGGTAATCATTAAACCTACGGTGGCTGTAAAAAATTTATTTATTATAAAAAATAGTTTGGTAACTTGAAACTTTGATGTCGCTCTTACCTCTTTTCGCTTTGGATCTTAATACAGCTAAAATACCCATTCTGTATAAAACGTGTTCCAGAACAAACGACCTGAAATTTGTATCATATGTATCATATGTATTTATCTTGCAGATAAAGAAAAATAAAATAAATCAACCTATATGCAAAATTGTTAGCTAAGAATTTTTATAAATTCAGTAATCAAAGTGCTCTAATAAGTGCTCTATTATTTTATACACCGGAATCAACAGATGTTAATAAATTTAGGGAAACTTGCACTTACTCTGTCCTAAAACCAGCGGTCCCATATTCAATACGTTCTGTGCATCTGCGACTTCGTTTGTACTCCACGTTGACAACATTTTTAAAATAATTTGATTCCATTGTATACTGATTTCAATACGCTTCAACAGGTGAATAAGATTGGCATTACACTGATAAATATGAGATTTGTACTGCCATATGGCGAGTACTTATATTTATTCGCCCACGTGTTTTCTTCCTTTTTCTTTACGATACCTTTAGGCCTGTCCGAATGGTGGGAGAATAGGCACCTTTAACTTAAATCGATAGGAATAGCGGACTGACACTGAATTGACTCTGAATTAGAAGCAATGGGCGTATTCAAGTCGACAAAACAGCTAGATCTGCTCGCCGAGCGATTGAATGTAATCGGACACATTCAAGCCGGCAAAGCAGCTAAGCTTGTTCTCGAAGCGTGAATGTGATTGACCGTAACCTCTAGATCTAATAGGGTGGAATTTTCGGGTGAAGTGGATCCTAATCCGGATTGGGTGCACTATCTACACCTAAAGTGAGATGGATATAGAATGGGAGCGTTGGAAAAGAAGAAGATACTCGTTTTAGGTGCAAGTAGTGCACCCAACCAAGTTAGATTCCGCTTCATCCGAAAACACTATAAGCTAAATCCAGAACAATACTATCTGCACTTTTTATTAAATCTCTTTCATATACACTTTCTTTAATATTTCTACTGGAACAAAATACATATATACTTGAGCATTGAAGAAAAAAGGAATAAAAAAAGATCTTAAATTCATTATTTATAAAATCATTATAAATTTTGCATGCTAAATGTAAAAAAAATATTTGTAAAAATTTAGTCATTAAGCTGTAAATGTTGTGTAAAATAAATATGTGATAAATAAATGATTATCAGTATATTTGCTGAGCAAACACACTGATAATCCATAAAATGTCTGATGTTGATACTTAATTGATATAATTGAATTGATTTAATAAAAAAAGTATGTAATAACTGCAATATGTAATATTTGGCGTATCTTTAAAGTAGTTTGATCAAAACAATTTAAAAAATTATTAAAGATAATTTATTAATCAGTTATATTTAAAAAAGTGATTTTTACATCTCAATGTTTTGGAAAATGACAAAGAATTAAAGACATATAATTAATTCAAGCTATCGATGGAAGATTTCTTTAATACAAAGGTAACATTTCTTTATTACAAAAAAAGCTAATACCACATTAACACCACATTTATTCACAAAAATTTGTGAAAGTAATGATGACTTAGTGAAAAAATGTATATAGACACATATATTTTTTTACGATAAATTATTTGTTTTTTATATTGTTGAAACTTTAATAAACGATTATTATTAACGCAATTGTTTCGTGAATCTTATACTATATTAAATTACTTGTCGCGCCGATGTGACATAAACTGCAAAGTACAACACAATTTTTATCTTTAATAGATCTTTTTATTGATTGAATCTTATTTTAAAAACGCATCATGATAATCGAGTTACATAATCATCTACATCTATTGTAAATATCTCAAAAAAACGTTATATATATGTCTTCCTGATAATTTTATAATTTTATTTGTAAAGATATAAATAAATAATATGAATAACATAGATGTAATAAATAAATATAATGAAAAAGTTTAATTAATATACTAATTAATCTTTGCAGCACATTTTATTAAGATAATGTAAGAAGAGCCATCATTAGGGGGTTACTAATAGCTACTAATTATTAATATGAAATATGAGAATAATCACAAGAATAATATCAAACATACAATTTATATTAAGTAAAATACTTTTTAAATAAAGTTACAAAATTTATTATATCATAACAAATTTTGAAGATTTGGAATTGCAAGAAATTCGTTATTGCAGTTTCTCTCCATTTCTCTTGCCTTTTATTCTTCTTTTCGGAACATCGTGTTCTTTGGCACCATTCGCGTATTATTATTACATCGACTTCCATTGCATTTGGATGTTGTATGCAGTTCGAGATGCAGAGTGATTCTCTGTTCGAGGAGAGATCGCGAATCAGGCATATGCCGATCAGTCCTCTTCGAGTGGTCGGCGCGCCTACGTCTCTCGTGAAAAAGTCAGGACACGTACGAAATGACGAAAGACAATAAGTATAATTCGCCAATCGAGTTCAGTACGACGACGAACGGTGAGGGCGAGAAACGATTCGTAAAAAAAGAAACGGTGCGGAAGATCAAATCAATCGCTGGACACGTGGGCTTACTGATCACCCTGATGCTGTACACCGCGATCGGCGGATTGGTGAGTCTCAAGAATGAAAATCGCTTTATCTTCAAGACGATTGCAGTCTAGTCTCTTCTAACTGAATTTTATTTAGATGAGATTCAGAGGTAAACGACAGATTTTTTTTTTTGTAAAAGTGACAGCCACGAAATTGTGGACTGATTCTCTGATGTTCATTTCCACCAATGTCTATTAATTTTAATCTTAAGGATTTTATTTTCTTTTTATCTTTTCCTAATTCTCAGAAATAAAAGGAAGACAAAAGTAAGTTAAATTCATATTAAAGTTAATCTACATCAAGATACAATGCATAGAGATGCTACATAGAGATAAATTTTCTTTGAAATAAGTGATGGAATCACAGTAATTATGTGAATAATTCGTTTTTCTTCCGCTTTTTGCATTTCCAATTTTTTTCACATTTGATAGTTACAATCGCGAGCACGTAATGAATATTCGATTTTTGTTTAATTTCGATTTTTTTTTTTTTTAAGGAAAATCGACGAATTATATAAGATGCGCGACGAAACGGTGAAGAAAGCGAAGGTGTATGCAGGGCGCCGACGATATTTCGAATCCACGCCGTGCGCGCACAAATTCTCATTTGGGAAACATCGAGATTTCCAACGTAGAGTTAAATGTATTCGATGTTCCATAAATATTTACATTCTGTACAATAACGAACGGACTTGTAGCCCGTCGAATCGTACCTTTATTTTTAGCGGCGGACCAATCGTGCGGCTTTCGTAAGAAGTATATTACTACTGACGCTTTCAATGAAGTCTGGTAAAAATACCATGCGTTGAAATTCACGATGGTCATGATTTTTTAAGTGTACCATAAAACAGGTCGCGGAAATAGCTTATACGTTATTTTCAAACGGCGCTCCTCAATGAACTCGAAATCGTCAATTTTCTCACGGTGGGAAAATAGCTCGCAGGATGTTTATTGTAATGGAAATTTAATTCATGTAATGCAAAATTAATTTCAATAGTTAGACCATAAATAATAATCGCATTCATGAAGAAGCTAACGAAAAGTGCGTTTCTGCATTCCTTGAACTTCTTTATAATAATAATAATAATAATAGACAATAGACAATATAATAAAAAATCATATTTTAATCTTACAAGACTATTTGAAAAAAAAAAGAATGTTTACAGAATTTTATGTGTAATCTGATAAATCAAATATCAATTTCCTGCATGAATTACGTGTTAATGACCTATTGTCAGCAAACAACGTCAACAAGTAAACAGTAGCAGATGGATATACATTTGCTCGATAAATACACATATATCGGCGGGTTATTCTCATTAGTCTGAAATAGAGCATTCGAGCAATATATCTGTATGAATAAAAGAATTCATCAATCCATTATTGACTTCGATCGTTAATGCGATATTGCTATAAAAGAGGGCGTCGATACTTTAATATATATTCATCTCCTTTAATATCTTCAATTTAATTTATTAAATACCGTAGTGGTCATTCCTGACTGACTTTTCGATAGACGCCTACTATAATAGGCATTTATCGAAATTTTTCTTAAAAATCTTGTAAAAAAATATCATTTAAAATAAATTCTCAATTAAATAAATAGATAACGGTATAATTTTAGAGCTGTTACAGAAATATTTCGCATTGTGTTTTAAGATATTTCAATTTCATCAGTAAAACACATTGTTGAGAAATTTTTAAAATGTTTCTGTACTATATAAGATTTATACAATAAAATTATTTTGTTTTGTTAACGTCACTGTGCATCCACAGGTCTTTCGACAGATCGAACTTCCGGCGGAACTCGGACGGCTCGAGCGTTTACGCGCGAGATTACGCACGCAACGACATCACTTCGTGGAATCTATCTCCAACAACACGGACGTCTTCAATTTGCGTACCTTGGTGAGAAATCGGTAGCCAAAATTATATTTCCCATTCCATCATTCCGTTCATGGTACTTCGGCGTCTTCCAGGTGAGCGTAAAATTACGCACTTATGAAGAAGCGGTTCAGGAAGCAGCGGAAGCGGGCTTCTTGATCGGATTTGTTGCGGATACTATTAATCAGGATGATCGTCTCGAATCGGAATTGCCACCCATCGTGACGGAGAGATGGAGCGTTCTCCAAGCGGTTTTCTTCGCCAGCACCGTCCTCACAACGATTGGTATCCCTATTATTAATAAGAGAATTTTTTTTATATATAAGTAAAAATTTTTATATATCAATAATGTAATATAAAAAATTAGTTTATCTTTCTTAAAAGAGATTATCCTATACACTAAAAAAATTGTTTGAAATTTTGCTATCCTCAAAATTAAATTTTGACTATTTTTTGTTATACAGTCTTTTAATTTACTCTATGATGATTTGTATTCATTAGGATATGGCAATGTTGTACCGTCAACAAATTGGGGAAGAATCTTCTGCATCTTCTTTGCCTTTATCGGCATACCTCTTACTCTGATAGTAATCGCTGATTGGGGAAAATTATTTGCAAGCGCGGTGGTGCACATCGGATTGATCTTGAAGTCGAAACTTCCATTTTGCGCAAAGCTCTCATGTATCCCGACGAATCCGACTGGTCGACGCTCGCTCGGTAAATTTAATTCGTAGATTTAGTTAAAATCTTCAATCTAACAATCCTCTTACAGGTGCTTGTGCGGCCATCGTGTTACTCTTTTTATATCTCGCCTGCGGTGCTGGTATGTTTATGCTGTGGGAGGATGATTGGGACTTTTTTGATGGATTTTATTTCTGCTTCGTGACTATGACTACCATAGGTTTCGGCGATCTCGTCCCGAGTAAGTAAAGATCTATAATCACAAAGGAGGATTACAAATTAATGAATAAAATTAAAAAGTTAATAATTTTTAATTTAATTAATTTCAAATGAATTAACTTCTAACTATTACATTTTATAACTAATTACAAAATGTAATAAACGATATTATTCGGCAAAATTTAGGTACCTAATACTTTTTTTTTAAATTCAAACATATAAATTCAAGATAATTGCTTGTATTGCCAACTATGTGCCGTTATTTTCAATTAATTATTTTTTAAAATGTATAATTTCAATATAATTTCAATTTTTTAATGTTTCTCCAAAATTTTGTGTTCTAATACTATATGTTATAATACTATTAACAAGGATAAACAATAATAAATGCAGATAACTGCGAATAAAAACGGGACTTGTTTATTAATCATAGTCTTGATCTCATTTAGAGAAGCCCAAGTATACGTTACTGTGTACCTTGTACATCTTGGTCGGCTTGGCGCTAACTAGTACCATCATCGAACTCGTCAGACGGCAATACGCTCAGTCCTGGAGGAGGCTGCAAAGACTGAGTGGTCCGTTAGCTGAGACTCTGAGGAAACTTGGCGAACAAGCAGGCGGCGACATGTCTGCGCTACATTCTGATCTACGGTACATATGACTTCATCAATTTTTTTTTTAATTAATTATAGAACGTTATTAAATTATATTTTTATAATTTTCGAGAAAATCTTTTTGACTCTTGAAAAAATTAACAGTAAAATGTTAATTTCAGGAAAGTACTGACGGTTATATCCATGCCACGTCTGAGGTGGTCCGTGTCCATCGACCGAGGTGTCACGAAGGACCAAGATTGGGAGGGAGCCGTAGAGGCTGTATTACGCGATATCGCTGCATCCGCGACGACGTCGCAGCCTAAGAAGCCAATCGTGCAAATTGTCGTTTATGAGTCCAGCGTTTAATATTATTTAATTCCAAATAACGAATTGGAGAAAGAATCACACTAATTTCGAGCGCTTCTTTCGCCGAATGCAAACTAGTATGTGCATTCAACGTTTGCTATATTGCAGACCTATCTTCTAAAACTTGTCAACACTATTTATAGCCTCTATCGCTCGCGCGACAACAATAATACAAGTATGCAAATACAAAATTATATACCAATTGATCGAAACAGTTCACTGGAGTAGGAAAATCAAATCATCCAAATCGCGATCGTCATTTTGTACTGATTTCGTCGTAACAGCGAAAGACGAATCCAGATTCAAGCACATTCGCCAAAGCTCGTTCGTTCACGTTCTTCGTTTGATTTTAGCCCTTACGCTTCGTATTTCGCGCGTGTATTTCCACCACGAACGTCGACGTGGTGCGGTCGATGAGAAGCATCGAGGGCGCATGAAGGATCGCAGCCCCGATCGACGCGACACACAGTATCCGAGAATGACGAGAGACTCTGTGTCGTCGGTGCCAACGAGCTAAATATAGATATAGAAATCGCAGACAACGCGCAAATCTCGACCCCTGTCGGCCGTATCGTCCTTCGTCGTCGCGAGTCGCGTCGAGCTCGGGGTGTCCGGCCGGAACGATGGCGGATTCCGAAACATCGCGCGAGATCAGCGAGACACTCTCGGCTATTGTGCGCATCGCATATCGTGTGCGTATATAAATATATAATGATAACGATGTATAGTAATGCTAACAACGCTATTGAATCGGTCGCAATCACCGTATGACAATAGTGTATTCGTTTGACAATTGCCACTCTCTGTTATTGACTCGTAGATTCGTAGCCGGATTTCATTCACTCGAAATTATTTCGACGCTTTATTCGAACTTAACGTTGTGAAAAATTTCCGCTAATAAAGAATTTTTCGCAGCGATTTACCACAACATCACGGATATCATGAATGTAACAGAGTCTGCGATCGTCAGATGAAAGTTGTGATCTCTGACCACGGTTGTTATGACAATTTCTGCATTGACGTCACGGAAATTATGCGCAGTGACATAACTTTAGCGTTTACAATATTCGAATACTATAATGTTATATAGTCTCGGATAATTTTATATGATACGTGATGTGTATTAAAGTCCGATGTTTAAACCGATTGCGAGAACCGCGAGATCGGTTGTCATGGCTATTTCCATTCTGATTTGTGCGTAATATTTAAATCATTTAGTCAAGTTTTTATTAATTTAATCAACACTTAACTTATTAAACAGTATTCGGATTATTTTGTTAACATGGATAGAATTTTTTGTTACTTTATAATAGAAAAATATTAAAGACAATAAATTATACAATTATTTATACATATACACATGCTTTATCGAGCACTTGTATGAGAAAGAAATTCTTATTTACATCGTAGAGTATATCATTCCGCATTCTTCCGTTTTAAATATTAAATAAAATGTTTAGACTTTTTTTAATTGTAATCCGTGTCGGAATTCAGGGTAGAGAAGTATGTTTGTAATTTCACATTCACATTCTTGTGTGTCTAAAAAATTCTATTTATTTTACACGTAATATGAAAAACATTTGAATTGGAATTGGTCAATTGGATTACATTAATTATTTCCATTCTTACTGGACCAATTCAAATTCAAATGTTTTTCAAATCTTCTATATATATATATATATATATATATATAGAAGTATTATATAATATATATATATATATATATATATATGAGTAAAATTGTATATTAAATCTTTTGAAATTTGCTGCGAATCGTACATCGTCTAAGATTCAATTCTATTTATTTGCGGCGGGCGAGATTCGCATTGCATAACATGATATTATGCGAACGTCGTTTTGCCCCCATAGCAATCTAGCATCATGTGCGGCACGCACGATCCCATCGCGCCGGTAAATGACGCGGCCGCGAACGCCGGCGACGCGGACGCGCGCGGCATGGAGTGCACGCGTCGTCTGCTGGGTCTGCCGCTGTTCGCCACGGTGACATCGGCGTTCTGCGGTGCGTACACGGCCGTGCGGGGCTCCCACGAGTCGGTCGCGACGATATTAGGTTACGTGGAGAACGGGATGCATACGAGCTTAGACTTCGCAAGTCCCGTCACCGACAAAGTGGCCGGCATCCTGGAAACGCCGCTCAAGGCCGTCGATAGTGCGATGTGTGCTAGTCTGGACTTCGTCGAGGAGAAGATACCCTCCGTGAAGCTGCCGCCCGGTCAGATCTACGAGAACATGAAGGACAGCGTCAGGTGATGGCCCGGCTGTCGAGGCTCCAGCGAGACGGAGCCACTCTCGTATAACATAATAATTAATTACCTTTTCCGATGATTTTGTGTTTTACGTTGTAGGAATATATTCACCTCGGCGTTCGAAGTTCTTAGGCCTCTGTTTGGCGGGCCGAAGAATCGGATAGAGGACTTGTCGATTGCGAGTGAGACTGCACAAAAGGAAATCCGAAAAGTGTCTAGTTGAATGGCGAAAATGCCAAGGACGATTAGTACTCAGGCTTTCGTCGTGAGATGTGCACGGTGTTTTAAATGATTATCACCAGGATGAGATCAAGTCCATTTCAAACGGTTTGTATAACTCGTATCGTAATTCAGGACGGAATTCTATTTCCAATTTTATTTGCCGTGTAATACATAAAAGATACCAGACATCATAATATATTACATATATTTAATTAAAAAATATATATAAATAATATATATTACTAATTATATATAAATATAATTAAAAAATATATATATACACATAAATTATATATATATATATATATATATAAATTATTATATATATTCTTCTTATAATATATTATTAATATATAATATATA